ACAACACTACTGCCAATAAATGGCAGAACTGAAGAGTTATAATTAAATAGTCATAATGAAACATTGTACTGCAATTTCCTTAGATCTCATACACAGATCTAAGAATAACTTATATGTCAGAGAATGTAATATTTAGGAGCTTCTCCCAAGAGGTGAGAGCTTACTACAATCTGCTTTGCTCTACTGAGGGTTAGGCTTAGGGGACGACCTCCTTGTTTTCCTAAAGATTGTATGTTTTTGTACAAATCAAATCGTATTTATTTATACAAAATCACCAACTTCGTTTTCTCATGAGATTGGGTTGATTAATAAACATTAACAAGCCAAACTAGCTGGCTTGTTAGTCACCAAAAGATACAAAGACATGCTAAAGTTTAAAGTTGCTCCAAAGTCATCACGAGGATGAGGTTAGGTTACAAAGGTGTTAGTTAAAGGGACAGATAACTGAAAATATCATTCCAAAAACTTAAGACTTCATTCATCTTGGAAACATAGATAAAGGTAAATTTTTTAATGAAACCTAAGAGATTTTTGTCCCTCCATTGAAAGTCCATTACGCCAATAATAAATAAATAAAAATAACTTTGACAATTCAAAAAGTTCATAAAAATATTAATAACAATCGAGTGGTTTAATCCAAGTCTTCTGAAGAGATACAATCACATTATATGATGAACAGATTTTATTAAGGCTTTTATTCACATATAAACAATTGATCAACACACATAGAGCATATCAAATATGGTAAACATAAGCTCAAACGTTTGTTATTTGTTTGTTTTTGCAAGTCAAGCAAGTGTGGTTGAGCTTCTGTTTACCATATTTGATGCGCTCTACAGTATGTATGAATAAAAAGCCTTTTTACTGTTTACCAAATTAAATCTGTTCATCGTATAAAGTGATTGTGTCTCTTCAGAAGATCACTCAATTTATATGGATTATTTTACAATGTCTTTTGAACTTTTGAAAGTGTTAAAGTTTTGGGCAAATTAACTTTCAATGGAGGGACAGAGATCTCCAAGGTTTCTTTAAAAATATCTTCATTTGTGATGAACAAAAGTCTTATGGATTTGGACTAAAATAAGGGTGAGTAAGTTATGATGAAATTGACATTTTTCATGATTACTCATACCATGATAAGATTTCGGTCCTATCTTCCACCTTTAGACCAAATTCTGTATGATGAGTCCTTTGAGACACATAACAGCCCTGTCTGCTCACTGCACATTAATGATCATCTATCCCGCCTACTTATCCCCGGCTGAATCACGTCAATCCCAGTCAATATTCACTCACAGGGACAGCTAATTAAAAAGTCACCCCAAAAACCATGCCGAACAAATAGACTAAGAGACGTATGCAGAGGATAATTAGCAGGGTGAAGATAGAGTACCTGGACAGGCCAGTAGGGGAGGGGAGGGGCCATTCACATTAATGCTGGTGAGAAACAGCAGCCGTGCCAGAATAAATTCATATCCCAACATGGTGCAATGAACAGCATCGCATAGTGTAATCTGCCACAATTCAAGGTTACTAAATGTGCGACTAACAAATGTATTCAATCCCCTAAGAGCTTAAAGGGCTAAATGAGCATTAGTCTAGGAAAGGTGGAATTCATTTGCCTCACATGCATGAATCTCACACTATTGTTAACTGTTGAAAATTATGTAATGATCACTCGAATTAACACTTTGAGAAAGGGTCATTTAGATTTGCTCAAAGACTCGTAACTACACTTAAGTGAAAGAATTAACACTACAAAAAGTATGAAGTAATGTAACATGAAATTAAAGGCTAATCATTCTTCTCATATTTATTCATTCATAACTTAATCATATTTTATTCCCCCATGTAAAATGATTATGTTGTATATAAGGCTTGGTAGCAAAGTTTCTCTAAATGATTACACTGCAACAAAACAAAGCCCAATAACGTACTGTATCTCCTTGGACTGGAACCGTGATGGCTGTCAAAGTGAAGTGTGACACAGAAGGACACAAACCAATCATCGCTCACATTGCTCGTATCTCCCCTGTAGGAGAGGACGCTTCATAGTTTGACCCAAAATATTTGCTGTTAGCAGTGTATTGTATTTCTAAAAGAGGCTAAATGAACACATGCTGATTTCAAAGTGCTACGAATAAAATGTCCTCACAAGGATAGTAAAACCTGAAATCACCTACATGTTGAGAAGCAATGAAAACAGCTTAATAAACATACTGAATGTGTCTTAATGAAAATGCAAAAACATTTGTGTGAGGGTTAGTTTTGGGTTAGGAGGCAAAAAAATATAATTAGACAGAAGTCAATGGAAATTCTCGACCACCACCAAAACAAACATGTACGCAAATCAGTGCAAAAGTGTCATTCTCTGTCAATGACTGTATAACATGTGCCTCTGGCTGTCTAGCTGGTGGCTATATGTCTTTCGTCCTCTGCTTGTGAACCTCAGTGGAAAACCAGTATGTGTCAGAAAGAGAGAGAGTATATATGTTACGCTGACAGTATGCTCTTATTTTCAAGACTAGCCCTTGATTGAATGTCTGTTCTGGTTTTACTCCTTTTTTTAATCCTGTCCCACTTGTGGCTTTTGGTTTTTGTTCACAATCCTATTATGAACCCGTTGAGGCCTATTGCTTTCTTGAAAACAAGGGCTATTATACACCTTTTTTATATTTTATGTTGGACCAGTGGCAGTCTTGGTTTCATCTGTTGCCCTACACTGTAAAAAATGATTGTAATTTTATCAGTAAAAGACTAAAAATGCTACAGTAAAAACCTGTTAACTGGTTAACAGTAAGTTTTCATACTATATTCGGTGAATAAATGTAATTACATTTAATGTAATTTTACAGTAAAATACTGTAAAATATTTGGTTTTTGGAAGTGAAAAAGAAAAAGTCATTGTATAATTTACAGTGAAAAAACGTAAATTGACACTCCCAGAATTCCCTGCATGACACTTCATATTTGATGTTTTTTTTTTGTTGAATTAGCATGTTTCTTCTTAGTTTTTTCTTATCAGTTGTGTACATTAGGGTATAATCTTACATCTAATGTTGTTAAATTAATGTTTATTGCATTATTTCAGTATCGTGTGTCACCATGATGGGGTTTAGTGTTTTTTTTGTTGAAATAACATGTTTCTTCTTATTTTTTTCTTATTAGTTGTGTATTAATGTTTATTGCATTATTTCAGTTTCATGTGTGTCACCATGATGGGGTTTAGTGTTTGTGTGAATGACACTGTGCACCTTCTATATATAAATATTACCCTCGGCTCGTAGAAAAGCTATTTGTGATGAACTTTGGTTCATCATGTGACTTTCTCATCACCACCAGTTTTTGGTGGTTATCAGTACATTACAATGGTTCAAAACAGATATTAACACTTCAATATGTTGGTTTATTAACATTACATCAGTTAATGAAATATGGTATTTTATTGTGAATTTAAGTTAAGTCTGTAAAACCTAAAATGTTGCTACCATATTTTTTACAATGAAGTTCTGGCAACCACAGCTGCCGGTATTTTACCGTAAATGTCACAGATTTTTTTACAGTGTAGGCTAGATAACATCATAAATCAGCTTAGCACTTCATTATATAAGTGTAACACATGTTTTGGCTAGTGATACAGTTTTTAGTGACACCGTGCAAGGAAACTGGGGTTCAACATCCCGACTAAACATTGAATCTTTTTCAAGTAAAACATGCGAAATTGCAACTGAACTCTACAGACAATGCATCTTTGTTGTATGTAAAAGAAAGCTTTGACATTTTGATAATAACTATTTATGTGTTCCACTGAAAAGTGGGATATGTGCGTTGTAGCAAACTGGGTTGCTAGATGATGACATAATTTTCTGTTCAAAGTAAATGACCTGTATTTTTTTCTGATAATTATCAAATATTCTGATATTATACCTTTTTTGGGGGGAAGTTGTAGTCAAAATCCACTCGAAAATATGAGGGTGCTTGTTTGAATGACATGACACTTCTAATCTAAGACAACATCCTCCACACCTCCCATTCACTTTCTCTTTGTTCCTTTTTAAGTTTGTGAGTATATACTCAAAAACATTGTGACATTCACATTTATCTCATAAATGTAACCCATTTATGTTCCATATTCAATGTGGAAATTCAAATCTAAAAGCACTAAATGAAGCATGACTCCAGCAGTAATGCTTCAGCTAGGCTATTAAACATCAAACAATCTAAGAGGGTGAAACAGGACTGTCATCGTCAATCTGAACGTTTTTTTTTCTCCACTATGGCATGCCAAGAAAGCTTTCCTCAAAACGTGTGCTTTCAGCCTGTTGCCCAATGCACAAGTGCATCTCTGGAGACTGTTTGACAAAACTAAGTCTCAGTGGAATACACAAACGACAAGACGACAGGAGCCAGCGGCATGGGGTCTAGTTAGGAGGTATCCCTCGCAAACGCTTTTGACAAGAGCTCATGACTCCAGTCTCAGACTGCTGGCTCTTCATAATTCTTTAAAGATATTTGCATAGCTGCAGTATGATGCGTCCTGCGCTCTACCTGCGGACCGCGCGAGATGCTACGATGACGCGCACAGCTTTGACGGACAGGGTGTCAGGCTGCTGCTTTAATGATGGAGGAAATGTGCCGTGAACTAGCGCATTAAATACAAGCGACAGGTAATTTTAACAAACAAACCTAACCGCATTATCGGGTCGTCCGATCCGCCTCATTTATAACATGCGCACTGATAATCAAGGGTAAATCAAACCAGGGAGAATATTAATGTCCCAACAGCTGAAACACCGCAACTTTCGGATAGAATAACTTATAACAACATTGCCATCGCGAAAGAAACAAGTTGAAGTTAAAACGCAGCGACACAGTAAAGATGATTCGTGCGTCTGCAGGCAAAGAATGGATTCATCATTCCCTTCACATCCGCAACAGCTGCAACTGAGCTCATCCCCCGTTCCCCTCATATCAGCAGAATTAATCGCAGGAAAACTCACCAAAAATTGCCAGCTGGAGCAAGTAGAGCCCGATGAAGTCCATTCTGCTTAGAGCCAACAATCTCGAGGCAGTAAAAGACTTTCGCGACTGCCCGTGTCCACTGGCACCAAAGTTGTCCAGAAAACGTCTTACTGCGTTCAGTGCTGATTTCCTCCAAAAATGCGAGACGCAATCCAGATCATTTCATAGGAACAGAGCACGTCGAGAATAATCTTTTATTCTCCAGCAAATCTGGCGCCAAATCAAAGGGAATCATTTGCGCAAAATCAGTGTCACGAAACGGCACTATTTCATTAACAAGTTTGGATGCTGTGTTAAAAACCTCATTAGCACTCAAGACATTAATTGAAGAGCGGTGCTGGTTCTCGGGAGTAAATTCAGCTGGTTTTCGTGTGGTGCTGCGTCTCTGTCTAACTCCTGAGCGCATGAGAACGGCACTGACACCAAATCATTGGACGCTCTTACGCGACACTGCGCTCTGCCCTCCAACTCTACTGACAGCAGACAGGAGCAAACGCGACAATGCAATTAAATGTCATACTATATGGAATATCGGATCTCTAAAAAGTAAGAGTAGAGTTTAAAAAAATTAGATTTTTTTTTATTTCCAAATTCCATAGCGGTTTTTTTTTTTTTACAAGATCAGAGGTTTCAAAAAACAGTCTCATAGAAATATAAATTGAATATTTCCTAGATTAGTGTATGCTAGAAGGTCACCCACATCCATGGGTATCGTTTGATTTGTAAAGCTTTCAAAATTAAAAACAGTTCTGTTCATCATTTGAATTCTACACTGGTTCTTGAGAGGTGGGATAAAACATGTAGCACTCAAAACAGCATTAGTTGCACTGAAATGAATCACATAAAATTATTTTAATAAATAATAATAATAATAATGATGATGATTTTAATAATAAAAAATACATTATCACTCAGAACGCCTAAATCCACCTTTACTCAAACATAACTCAATACTTTATACATATAGTATGCATATAGATAAACAGTATGTAATACTTTACATATATATATACATATATATATATAT